ATATATTACAAAGCACGTCGTTCGTCATTTTGCAGTCGAAGTCGTAAAATACCGGCTGTTTCCATTTAGATACGAGTCCTGACGAATAAAATGAATATAATAATTTAAATTTTATTAAATGTTTATCGCAAGATATATCTACCTGTGAGCATCGCTACCTGCACATAGCTGACAGGTTCCAGTGTTGAGTCCGACGAGGTATCATAACAGTAAGTCTGCCTGACCTTCATCTCGTCGAAACTCAAAACACACACCTTTTGAATGGTATCCATTTGCGTGGAGGCATTTAATAATTTAAATACCGGCTTTATTAAACCTCTGGATACGTCGATTTTTTGTGCCCAACTTTGTAGCGTGCGAACGCCAGGTAGCGGAAAACCTTTTTTGTACATTAGTTTAAATGCTTTCGGACTTGCGGCGTACAACGTGATGGAATTCGCGATGTCTTCTTGACTCCAAGTAGGTTTCCTAATGNCACAATTTGCCACTGCACACTTCATTTTGCCTTAGTATAAGTTTATAAAGTTTAAATAATCGCTTTGAATTGCTTAAAATCTCGCAGAAATAACACACAAATAAATTGCTAAGTTCAAAATCAACCATTGCACCAGTGTGACGTCATACAAACAGCTGATTCTGTCAAATTCGTTAAGAGAAAAATAGCGGTACCGAGATCGGCGCAACCTTTGTATTCTCTCAATCGTGTCTACGATGCATATAACCTGCCTATGTATCTGTGTGTAGCAGGACTACGTCTGCCCGGGCTTACTAGTTGATATATAAATAATTACCTAAAAAGGAAAATGGTGTTTACTTTTGCATGAAAAATTAACAAAACAGTTGGTATTACATAACTTGGCAACGTGGTTGAATTAATCTGCTCCTTGGAGAAATCTTTTGAAAGTAGTACTTCCGTAAAGTGAAAATAGTGATGAAGATGATGATGAGGATAATTATGATAATGAATATTATTATTATTATTGTTATTATTATTATTATTATTATTATTATTATTATTATTATTATGAGCTTTGAGCACTGCGACCTCTAGGGTAGTCTATTGTGCGTGGCCCTATACCCTATACGTGAAGGCTTTTAATATAAGCTACAACTTGGGTGGGGTTTTTGTTCCATATTTCGAATGGATTAAATGTTGTACCACCTAGGTGAGCGAGTCTGCGTCTAACAACACAACACAGAGCAACACATTCACAAAGGATGTGTTCTGGCGCTTCTTGGTCCATCACACAGAAGCGACAGACGCTCGTGTCTGAAAGATTCATCCCAGCAAAAAATCGGTAATCGCTTTTAGTGGTAACGTGTTCTAGAAGGCATAGCGTTATGATGCCTTCGAATTTTTTCGCTTCTTTTAGGCATTGCCGGTAATGCAAAGTAGAATGTCCAACAATATTTTATTTATTTCGCTTCTTTGTTTGATTTCGGGGAATGCAAAGTAGAATGTCCTATACTATTTCTTTTTTA